AACCAGCCTTGTGTAGCCTTTCTATCTCTTCTTTGACCTTTAGAACAACTTCTTGGGACATCCTTCTTGGAGGCCGTTTGAAAGGCTTGAAACCTTCCTTAATTGGCAACTTATGCTCTACCAGCTCTCTGGAAAGACTTGGCATTTCCTCATAGGTCCATACAAAGCAATCTTTGTATTCTTCAAGTAAGGAAATCAATTCTTCTCTAAAGGTTGGTTCCAAAAGCTTACTAATGTAGGTATGCCGAAGGTCTTGTTCTGTTCCAAGATTAAATTCTAAAAATGGATATTGTACTTCGGCCTTCAGATTGTCTAACTGCATTGGCTCCACCTTCAAGTCTGTCAGCTGGATAACATCCAACTTGTTTTCAGTATCTTTCATAATCTCCAAAACATTGGTTAAAAATGAAGTACCAGCAACAGTAGCCCTTTCCAACTGTAGTTCGGCAAGATATGCTTTGAACCTAGCAAGGCAGCAATTAACCGCCTGGCCAAGTATTCTATTTTCTTTAGGTTTCTCTTCCATAAAAACTTTTGTTTGAGATGTATTACTGAACACCGGCCTTGGATAAAATTGTTGGCCTTGGTGTTTCTTGGAAAAGCTCCCTTACATCTTCTTTCGTAAAAGTCCTTCTCATGGTGGCCTTCCTTGGACGGCCCTTGCTATCCTTTCCAATAAATCTGATTGGAACAAATTCTTCACTATATAACTCAGCATCTGCATGGCAAACCCTTGCCACAAATGGCCGGCTATCAGCTTCCACCACTTTTACCTCATTTCCATCCCAAAATATTAGCATTTGATGGAGCGAAGATGGAATGCAAAAATTTGGGTGAATCTATTCGCGGCCTAAAAGCAAATTATAGGCCGATGTAGACTCAATAATAAAGAAGGCTGTGATGGACATTCTATCTCTTACCGTTAACTCCAATGGTAGGATTCCTTGTGTCTTCACTATTCCTCCCGTGAATCCACTAATGGACACATTAGTTGGAATGATATCTTCAGGAGACTTTCCAAGCATACGCATAACATTGACTGGAACAACATTTAACACCGAACCATTGTCCACCAGAACTCTTGCCAAGGGCCTCCCTTCCACTAGCACCTTAATGTACAAAGGTTTGAGCTGCTGAGTCATGCTGTATGGTGGCTTTTCCAACACAATTTTCCTTGGCCTCGTGGGGCAGTTCTTTTCAATCACAATCCCCTTTAATTTTTGGAGATGCTCAGTTTCATCTTCAAAGACCTCCTCTATATGAATACCATTTTTTGGTTCCATAATGGTTAGCCTAGAACTAGACTGTCCAAGACTTTCCATGGGAGGACTTGTATCTACTATATCTTCTTCCATTGAATTGGGCTGATTTGGCTGAGGCTCAAAAAATAAAGGAAGAACCACTACCATATTGCAAGTAAATTCACCTGGAAGGCTCCCAAAATAGATTTTCTTGCGCCTACTGGAACTGCTGGGAATTTCCAAATCTGTTTTATTTTTCGTAGGAGGATTGTCTGTAGTCAAGGAATTTCCAACCTCTGAATCAAGATTTAGCAAATCATTAGGATCTCTCTCATTTCCTCTAGCTTGAAGTTCTGATAAGTCTGACGGCTTAGTAGTCTTCTTTGACCAGCTGGACCAGCCATGGTTTTTCTCCCATAGCCTTCTTCTATCAGCCCTCTTCCTTTGCTGCCTTCGCTTTTGTGTGCGGGTCATATAGGAATCATCATGGATAGGGAACTTGGGATGATCAAGCCTCTCCCACCTGTTACTTTGCAAGATGGGAGGCTTAACCATTCTTGGTCGGAGACGCTCATTCTCCCTTCTAACCCATACCTCCGAGGCCATTTTTGGCTTGGAATGCCTGTCACCTTCAGAATCTCTGTCTTGCCATCTATTATTTTTAAACTTTCTGTTAGGAGGACGAGAACCTGGCTGATAGGAAATTCTATTCCTTTCCAAATTCTTTGGAAGGATTTCAGATTTCCTCTCTGCTGCCTTTTTTTCTGGATGAACCCGGCTTTCCTTCTCTGGAATGGTTACAGTAACTGTGTTTTCCACCTTTTGGAAAGTCAGCCGATCATGAACCTTCCTTTCTGACCCCGGTCACTATTGGAGGGCTTTTCATTCTGCTTTTCTTTTGGAAAGTCTTTACGGCAACCTTCATTCTGAACTTTACACTTGGGGCAACAACCTTGTTGGATTAAAGCAATCTGGGCCTCTCGGAGTTGCCTCTCCAACTCAGCTACTATCTTCTCCATAGATGTTACTGCCTATGGAATTTCCAACCTTCCACTGGTTGCTGGATTTACCAAGTCCACCTCCTTTTTGGAATGCTTCGAAACTATGGAAGCAACGTTTGTTGCAACAACCTTGGGGAAAGGATTTCCATCAACACCCATGACTTCTGATTTTTCTGGAAACTTCAAACGGCCATCTTCGATTGCCTTTTGCACAATGTTGCGGAAGATAACACAATTATTAGTAGAATGCTTCCACGAATTTTGGAACTTGCAATACTCCTTCTCGGCCATTTTTGAAGCTGACGGCATCTTATGGCCCGCTGTGAAAATTAGTTGCTTGTCAGCCATGAGCAAATCAAAGATTTGCATGGCTTTAGAAATGTCAAAAGAGTAACTTCTGGAAGAGTCTGTCCCCTTCCACTTGGAACCAGAGGCGTCCTGCAAGTAGGCCATGGCTAATTTTGGTTTTGTCAAGGCCTTACAAGTATATGCCTTCTTTATGTTGAGCTTGGCTACATTTACTTCAAACTCCCCTTTAGTTTCAGTGGTATACACCTCATAGTTAGGATCACGATAGTAGGTGCCCTTGGAAGAGTTCTTCCTATCTTGCTCCTCACGAATGAGCTCTTCATACTTAGCCACTTTGCCAGCCAAGTCGAACAAGTCATGGAACTGTACACCTTCAAACTTCTTGCGAAGTTCAAATCCTAGGCCGTTCACAATCATCTTCATATATTCTTCCGGTGGCAAAGACAAATTACATTTGAACTTGGCCCGCCTGAATCTGGAAAGGAAGCTTATCACAGATTCTCCAGGTAGTTGATGAAGTCTGGAAAGGTCTGCCATGGACACTTCAAGCTCAGCTCTATAGAACTGAGTATGGAATAAATCCTCAAATTGCTGCCAACTTTTAATGGAGTTAGCTGGTAAGTTAGAATACCACCTGAAAGTATACCTAGTCAGTGTATTTGGAAATAAGCGTACCTTTAGCCTTGGATTGGCTGCTGCTTCTCCACACTGAACAGTGAACTGACTGATATGTTCTAAAGTAGACTGTTCGCCCTCTCCATTGAATGTTGCAAACTCTGGAATTCTGAAATTCCTTGGAAATTCAACTTCATCAATGAACTCTGGATAGGGCTTTCTGTAAGTTGGCCTTCCACCCTTTCGAGTTAGGCTAAATTCCTGCTGAAGTAATTCTGCAAATTGACTTCTATCAAGTGCCATAGGTTATGGAGGGTTGTTGTCTGGCCAACCTTGAGGTTGATTGGCCACCTGATGCCCCCCACCCGCCATAAGTAGGGGGTTGGCATCTGCATAATTGTTCCTACCACGGTTCCTTCCTCCTTGGTCAAGAAGTGGCTCCCTTGGAAAAGGTTGCCCCCCAACCGCTATTGGAATGACCATAGGTGGTGGCCTTGCTGGAACAAGTGTGGTTAGCTGAATGTTCACAGGTGGAACATTTTGTTGTGCTTGAGGGTTGTGGTATGGCCATGGTTGGCCAGGCTGATCATGCCAAGTCTGTTGTGGAAATGCCATATGTGGAAGATTCTGAACTTGCTGGATGGTTGGCATGGGCGCAGCTTGTGGAACAGTCATTTGTACCACTGGAGCAGTCACAGGTGCAGTTGGAATATAAGTCTGTGCCATTGGAAGGGACTGCACCAGCTGCTGAGTTGGAGGGAGTGGCCCTGCATGTTGCTGAGAGGAACTTCCTTCAACAAATATGGCCGGCCTACTCGTTTGGAAGGCCGACTGTTGAGACCCTTCAGAGTTGTTTGGCCGAGGGGCCAATCCCTGGTTTAAGCTTTTAAGGGTTTGTTCCAACATGGACTCGAACCTTCGAGAGATTTGGTCCACCATTTCTGCTAAATTCCGCTCTTAAGAAATAACAGCTTTAGATTGGTTTTGAGCAACTCTGGTTAAGTCTTGAGCGACTTTAGCTTGGTCTTGCGCAAACCTATTTTGCTGCATTGCCATCATGCGGATGTTGTCCATGATGGGTCCATTTGCCATTGTTTGAGCAAATTTTTCCAAGCCTGAAGAAGTTGGACAAGGAAGGAGATAAAGAAAAGAAGTAACAGATGCCACCTGTTAGTGTCGTGACAAGGCTTATTCTAATAATGGAAGCTCATAAAAAATCCCAACACCTAATTAAGCCTTTTGGGACTTAATTGGTCTCTAATATCATTCAGGTACCTAATAATCTCTCTCTATGTGTCCACATGTGAAGTTCTATATTAACGACAATTAAAAACGTTGTATTATATCGATAATAGTCTCAAAGTGGAATTGGCCTGGCAGCCCTTGCTCAATTTTGGTGAAATTGATCATAGATCTCTAAATGAATGCTTGCTTTCATTTCCTAATGGCTATGCTTTGGTTGAGTGGTATTTTTGGTTGCTTAACCAATTTTAATTTGGTTTCATAGATTTTGTTACTGTTACTACTGTCTTGATTGTTGAAGCTCTAAGGGTTGGGTGCTACCTGTGGACTTTGTGTTGGTGTCACTATTCGTTGGTGTCTGTAATGTTTGTGAATTATACATATATATAATTGTGGTGTACAAATAAAAAAGAAAAATTTTAATTTAGAAAGTGGTGGGACCTACCACTTATCTTTAAGTGGCATGAAGGCCACATATGGCCTCCCAGATCCCCTCTCTCTCCCGTAATCCTCCCTCTCCCTCTTTTGTTCTTCATTTTTCTTTTTCTTTTGTATCAAAAACTAAAGTTTCAATTAATCTCTCGTTTCTTAGAGTTTTTGGGAGCTGTTTGCGGCAAAACGGAGAGCACGGCGAGATCTAAGTGTGAGTACAAGCAATTTCAGTTTTGGTCTCCCCTAGGATTTCGAGTTTTGAGGCCCATTTTGAGGGATTTTCTACAAATTGAGGTAGGGGTGTTCTAATTTATATTTTCTTTGATCTTTTGTGAGTTTTCCCTTTTAATTTGATCCTAAGCATGTTTGATTTTAACAATTTTGCCTATGTTGTTGTGATTGTATGTAATTAAGGTGATGGATGTATTATATGTATTAATTGAACCAATGATTATGGTTATATACTTGGTGGTGAAGACACATGCTCAGTATTGACATTTTAAGTGCCCCATGATTTTTAATTGTTAAGAAAAGTGATGTTTAAATTATGAAAATAAATGTTAGGATTTCCCTTAATAATGTGATCATGATGTAGATGGAATGCATGGGATTTATTGTAAATTTTTCTTGAGAAATTGCCATGATGCTAGATATATGATGTGTATCTCTATGTGTGTTTTGTGTAAATAATATATGTGTGCATAATTCGTTGATTGGATATGGAAAGCATGCTTTTGTGATTATGTCCTTGTTTAATATGTGTAATTGTAGAATTTTTGTTAACTTAGAGCATGCTATAAATTTATGAGAAAATTCTTCTTTAGTATAGAATGTTGTTAAGGTTTGATGATATGAAAATTATGGTAAATTGTGAAGCATGAAGCATTCATGCATTCATTGGGAAAGAAAAAGGGGAAAAATATTTTTTTTTAAAAACCAATGAAATTGTTTTGGGGAAAAGTTTTTGAAAAGTATTTGTGAAAACCCGGACGCCTAGGATGCACTTAGTGGTCCGTGGTGTTAATGTGGTCTAGAGAGGGGACTAGGGAGAGACCCCAGTGTGGTTGAGCTAGCCAGGCCGGATGCGACGCTTTGGAGGTGCCTTGTGGTCATGGATGGTTAACCAATCCCCCTTTAGTGATGCCTTGGAGGTGCCTTGGGTCGGATTACATTAACGGTTTGGAAGTTGAAACGGTATGGTTTCGGAAACGAGGAGTGACATTACATGGCATGGCACATCATTGGCATACGTGATGCATTTGGTAATTGGTTAAGATATGTATGTTTGTTGATGAAACAGTGGTTTTACTTGACTCCCGAGATATGATCCCGATCTCTTGCTTTCTATTCTCTATGTGGATTCACGGGGTCATAAGAGGTATGTCTTAGACACTTCATACTGAGTAATTTGTTCACCCCTTATATTTAACATTTTTCAGGACACGGACGGGAAGTGGCAGAAGACGCTCCTCCACAGGGTTCGATGGGTTAGTAGACTGTTTTGACATACTTTGTAGCTATGATTTCATTTTTTTATTATTTATTTATTTATTTTTATTATTATTATTTTTATAAACTTTGAGATGACACGTATAATATGGACTGACATAGGAAAGGATAATAGTGCCCTTAGTTGACCTCGGGTTTGGGTAAGGACCCGGTTAACGATTCGGACCCTCGGGTTCGGGTCGTTACAGTGTCACTTGGATGGTGCTCTTTAGTTAATTGCCTTTTGTGTTGTTACCGGATGATGTTGTTGCTCTTCATTTGTATTATGCTAATTTAGCAGATCTGATGTATACCACATAGTATACTATTATGCTACTACACAGTTGTATATATATATTGACATAAATTATACAAAGCAGTTGTCATTGTTCACGTCAAATGCAGTTAATTCAATATTTTATTCAATGCATTTGCAACTTCCAATTCTTATAATGTTTTTCGTGTCAAATTCCAATTTCCAAGTGTTAATTCTATTATTATTATTACTTCTTTTTTTTCTTTTTCTTGTTTTAATAAAAAATGGATGTACATGTTTTTTTTTTTTTTAGTTGGTACTTTACACACACATGACTATTGAAACTCGAATTCATAATCTCTCCTTATAAAGTACTAGTGGTTCGGTACCGCTGACTATTGGTCATGTGCATGTTCTCATTGGTTCATTTGATTATTATTATAAAGTTTGACCATGGAACAAAAGGAAAGTTTCAATCAAAGGGTAGCCATATGTTTTTTAAATAGCCAATACTTTGTGTTATTGTTAATTCCACTGTTGATCAAACAAGTGAAAAATGTATAATTTGTGTGTTGCAAGAGCCAATACTCTCATATTGTTCAATCCAGTCTTTTTCAAACAACTGGAAAATGCCTTAGGGCAAAATTTAATCAGTGTCATTTAGTATAGAAACTAGATGATGAAGTTCCAATTGCATAGACAAGCCAAATCAAGTAACAAACAGGAAAGCCAAAACAGTAGAGCCAAACTTTTCAAGGAAAATTTTTACACTCATTTCAACTCTATACTTGTTCTTCAAGATTCTGAAGTCCCTTTATTTTCAAATTGAAACTCAAGTAAATGAGAGGCCAATGATTTAATCCGATTATTGTAGGGATTTTATCAAGGATAGCTAACCACAATGTGAAAAATTGTTTAGAAATAGTTTAGCTTGTCTTCGTGTCAAAACCAGCCCATACCGCTTTGCACACTCTCCGGTGTTTACTATTTTCTTCCAAACACTGCGTCTTGTACAATTTAGAAGTGTTTACACATGTAAATGCCTACCCAAAGCTTATATAATAAACATTAATGGAGAGGAAATCTTTCCTGCACAAAATACTAACTAGACATCAGCAAACATAATATAATTTAATTTTAGTTTAAGCATATTCTAATTTGTATTTAAAATTCTCCTGTTGAGTGTCAATGCCTTAGCAGTAGAAAATAGTGTCTTCTATCATTGAGAATACTTATTACCAAAATGATTTTTATTTTAACTACCAAATTTTTTTTAGCAACACTTGCTTGTTATCTGATTTGTTTAAAGTGTTTTAGTGCCAAAATTTGTGCAGCACTTTTACTGTTATCAAATATATTTTTATATTCTTGTTTTAAAAAATCCATATTACAAATTTTACATTACTAAACATGTTTTCAATCTCAAATGTATACAAACCACAACAATATATATATATATATATATATATATATATATATAGAATGGAAATGAAAACGCAAAACAACAACGTTGCCTTCACGAGCATATTTGACTTATTTGCTTGCACTTGATTTGTCTCCATTATTATTTAAGGATTTCAAATTTTCCTCCTCTTTTTTTTTTTTTTTTTTTTTTTTTGAATTGTTTTGTTAATATAAATCCTAAATAAAAATGAGATAAATAAATAAAAAAGGCGTTAGAAAAAGTCGACAGTTTTCAGTTGGCCCAAGAAAATTATTAGGGCTTATTCATTGGAGCGTAAATTCGGTGATCATGGATGAAGTTCTTAAATGGGGATAAAGGATCCGAGATCGGAACCGTTGGAAGCATCAATCACAGCTGTCGCGAGTCAACGGTAGATCATCTGAAGAGGCAGATTCATCAGCACCCTTGCTGCATCAAATACGATGGACCTTCCTTCCTTTGTTTCTCACTACTTCTTGATTAAACCAACTGGTAAATCCTTCCTTAATTTTACCCCATTTCTTTGTATAATCTATTTGTCACGTATATATTTTGTATTTGTATATGTTAGGATTGAGCCTTGAGGTCTGATTGAGGAGGAAGTTATAAAAAAGAACACAACATTTTCCCATCTCAGGGCTATTCTGGTAATTAAAACCTTTGTTTCCATTTTTAATATCATGAAATTTTTCTGCCCTTACTTTTCAATCAGTTGCTCATAATTTCTATTTTATTTGATTTTTACTAATGCTTTGTTATTTAAAGGGAAATATAAGGAATGAATAGGAAATTAATTGATCTCTAAATCCATAGTTATTGAAATCAAAGATGGAGATTCTTATATTCTTTTAGCAGTAGGGATTTAAAATGAATTTGATAATGGGATTCTACTTTTCAAGATTTTTTTAATACTCATAATAATTAGCATTATGCCTCTAACTTGCAAAAGGATATGTAATTTTTTTTCAAATAACATATCAAGGCCTTTATTTCCATACTATGCTACTACTTGTGAAGGCCTTTTCCCTTCCTAAGGGCTATTCTAGTAAATAACACTCTTCCTTTCTTTCTTTGAATGTAACATTATCACTTTCAGTCCAGCGAATCTTGCCACGTCCACTTTATTGAAGAATTTATTCAATTTCATAATTTCCATAAGCATTATCAATTGAGAAAAATATTTCAATTTCATAATTTCCACACGCTTTATTGAAGATAATTGAAGAAAATTTTTTAATTTCATAACTTGAAATTAATAAAGTTTATAAGAGAAGAAAAAAGAAATGAAATAAGAGAATAGTATGAGGTACTTATTGTGTTTGGTTGACTTATAAATGAAAAGAAATGAAAGATAGTAATCATATTTGGAAATTATTTTAATGAATTTATTACCATACATGTTTTTTCTATTTTTATAGATTTTGTCTTTTATAAAAATAAAGACAAATTTAAAATTAATAAAGTTTCTTTAAAAATGATAGTCTTTTGCTCTCCTGTTTCATTTTTTTTTTTTTTTTTTGAAGAATAACAAATTAACTTAATATTTGTACTAATAGCTTCATAGGCAAGATGCATTTTGGCTACATTCGAGGCTTAATGTCTGATTGTGGAGGAAGATTACTTGAGACGAAGCAAGTTACAAGGAACAAATCTTTTTCCCCTTCTTCAGGCTATTCCGGTAAATAACACTATTCCTTTGATTCTTTGAATGTAATGTAACATCACTTTCAGTCCAGCCAATCTTTCCACATCCAGATTCAAAACATTAATGATGAATGATGATAATAAGTGCAACCCATTCTTTTGACACCTAGTGTAGAAATAATGAAACAACATGTTCTTTCTTTTTGAAAAATATCTATGCCTCACCAAATTCTAGACACCACTTACAATATTTCAATAAATTTATTTTCACCCAATTTATGTGGTGTGATAGGTAAGCTTTTATATAGATTAATTGCTTAGATGGAAATTTAGAATAAATGTCTAGATTCAAAGTTTAATATTATGAAAAACTTATGTCCTTTCTTTTCAATCAATTACTTATAATTTCTATTTTATTTTGTTATTTAAAAGGAAATATAAGGAATGAATAGGAAATTAATTAATCTCTACATCTGTAGTTTTAGAACAAAATTTACAATCACTAAACTTGATTGGCTTGTCCAATTATGATGTATAAATGAAAAATTTATTAGATGACACTGAATTATTTGGTATTTAACTTCTAATTTAATAAAAATTAATATAAAAAATTATTTATAATATATTAATATATTCTTGTGGAACCCATTCTTTCAACAAATGGTACCAAACACGTAGTGATGCCCACTTATATGGGCTAGGTTGTCTTGGCCCTCTTACCTGTGGTGAAGGAATTGCTTTGTCTGTTACACTGTATTTTTGTGTCGGTGTGCACTAAATCATGGAGAAATTGCGTACGAAGAGGCAAAAGTGATATATATGTATGTATATATATATATATATATATATATATATATATATATATATATATATATATATATATAATTTCAAGGGGGTAGCATTAAATTTTCATAGATATATATGTTCGGCTCACGGAAAAGCGCTAGTTCCACTTTTCAGGTGAGTGGAAAGTAGGAGTGGATGTTGGGCATGCCAGAAACTGTTGTCGTTCCAAAGTGAGTATCCGAACAACTATTCAGTAGGAAATTGCAGGGATCAGGCGATTGAATGAAGGACTGGAATTACCACCTTCAAGGGTTCTTTTTGCCTTGAAAAAGGACTTTCGGACTGAATTATGACTAGTGGAAAGGAAAGCGGTATTGAAAGTGCAGGAGTTCAAAGTAAAGTGCTGGAAAGTAGGAATAATAAGTGCATGACTTGAATTAAACATATTGAAGGTGCATTACATGATGTAAAGATATTGAAGTGCTGTTTTGCTGTGTGATTTGAACAGGGTTTGCAAATGAAGCCTAAGTGCTCTATTTATAGAACTTTCCATGCATGCATCAACTTGGTGTGGCCACTTCAGCAGCTTCCACGTGGAATGACTCCGAACTGCCCCATGTCCCATGATTCCTCATCAGTTATAACTTCTTCCATCTCATCCATCTTCTGTTGTAGATTTCAACCACGTCCTCTTTTAGTCTTCAACGAATTTGTGTCTTGGGTAGTTTCAAAGTGAATTCCCACGTGTCCTCTTTGTGACTTGGCAAGTGTCCCATAATTTTGTTCTTCTTCCTCACGCCGTCAACTTCTCTCCTTAACTTCAGACACGATTTCACCAACTGCAGCCCTGTCACCGATGACCCTTGATAACTTCCCTTGATTAGTGGTAGTTTCCTTATAGGTTTCCACCACTTTCAACCGATGTATTCCTGTTTAGCCAAGTGTCCCATGACTTCTAGTAGTCTTTCACTTCTGTTAGAACCCTCCTTTCACTATACGACTCCATATATATCATGCACATATAAGGAAGGTATTTGTAGACCATGTTCTCCTAGCTTTGGGTAACTTCCTTCTAGTTGAGCTTTCCTTTCTAGGCTTTGGAGTTCATGGTGCCATGACCTCCTTAATTTAAGCAACTTCTCCATCGTGGGTAGTTTATCCAACCCACTTCCTTTCCTTCTGTAGACCACGTCCCTGATCCTATGCCGAACCTGCCATATCAATTTCACGGCATCGTGGTTTCCTCCCACCATTCTACTGACTTTACATCATGGATTATGGTCGTAGCACACTTCCTTAATTATAGCAGCTTCCCTTCAACCTTACTTCATCTAGATTTAGAACTCATGGCTTTATGGACTCCTTTTTTCATGGTGATTTCTCCATCGTGGGTTAAACCTAATAAATATATATATATATACTTGCAAATATATATATATATATATATTTATAGAAACAAATTAAATCCCACATCTTGCTGAATTTTAGTAACAGAGGTTGACCTGGCTTGGGCAATTGCTGAAGTCTCCTAAAAATAAGGAGAAAATATCGTCTCCACGTCCCTTTTACGTGACGGTATCCTATAAAAATAGGATCTTCCAATTAATTTATCTTTAACAGAATTAATCCACTGTGCCAAGTTTAATAAAGCTCGCCATATGTTGATAAATTATTGGTTGGTTGAGTCTTTGACTTGCATCCATGGTAATAATTCCATGCCACCTTCTCATCTTTTTAGGACATTATATCCCAAGTTTGGTAAGTCCTAATAGGATTCTCCAATCTCATTTGATTCCCCGTTAATATTCCAAAGGAATATTTATCAAAATAACACTCTGACATGGCAAGTTCCATGGAAACTTGTCATGTCACTATTTTTTCATTAATAAGCCTCACTAACAATTCCACGTCACATCCCCTTATTCTTGAACAATTAGAATACTAAGCCAATATGGTAAGCTTGTCAAATCTCGCCACTTATCTTCTTTCCATTGGGCAAAATAATGGGATAAACAATATATTTAAAAAAAAAAAAAAATACAATTGTATGATACTAAGAAAAGTGAGAGTGAGTGGGGAAATACAATAGTTTCAAAGATTGAAATTGAAAGTCACTAAAACTTGCCCACTCGAATCATCTTTTTAAAATTGAACATGTGTGTTTTATATCTTATATACATGTAGGATTATATCAATTTATTAAATACTGTACTATTTTATAGTGCGGTGAAAACTTTGTGAACGAGATTATATAAGTTCCATGTCATGTCATGTAAGTTCCATGAAACAAGTCTGAGAAAGTGACAGGGCCTGTGGAAATTATGAAATTGAAGAATTCATTTATTCAATACTCACTGATTGATGATAACGTAGGTTCTCCTCATTTTCATTCCTAACCACTCAAACTTCACAGGAACTTATATTCAATACTCACTGATTGATGATAACGTAGGTTCTCCTCATTTTCATTCCTAACCATTCAAACTTCACAGGAACTCATCACTGCATAATCCTCTTTTCTCTTCTCACACAATTGAAATGGATACGGAGAACAACACTTCATCTTCCACCCCTTCACCTGATGGAGGATGGGATTATGAAGTTTTCTTGAGTTTCAGAGGTGCAGACACCCATCATACCTTCACTGACCACCTTTACAACGGCCTGTGGACGCTGGAATTCACACGTTTAGAGGCGACGATGAGCTTTACATTGGAGAGAAGATAGGTCCGGAGCTTCTCAAGGCAATACAGCACTCAAAGATATCCATCCCAGTCTTTTCCGAAGACTATGCTTCAAGTAAGTGGTGCCTAAATGAACTCACCAAGATGGTTGAGCGTAAGAGGACTTTGGGGCAATTGATATTACCCATTTTCTACTGCGTCGAACCGACCGACGTGTGAAACCAGAAAGGGAGTTACGAAGAGGCCTTCCAGAAACACGAAGAGAAATATAAAGATGATATTGCTACTGTGGAGGGATGGAAGAACTCCTTGAGGGAGGTTGCAGAATTGAAGGGATGGGAAGTGAAGAATGTTGCTGATCGGTAATTGTGCATATTTACTTATATATACTGATTCTGAAATTTTAACTTCTGTCATTATTTTCCTTTAGTAAATTTTCCTAATTATTAGCACCAACTATGAACTTGTTTGGTTCCGTTATCTCAAATTAGACAATACACTAACTTAATTTACAAACAACAGTTTTTACAAATATACACAATTATGGAGTGTGAACAATATTAGGTAACTATGTATATTTATTAATTTATTTATATATAATGATTCTGCTATTTTAACACTTCTGATTATTTTCTTTTAGGCTCCTGAGTGTTTGGGTGTAAAATATTTTTTTATTTTATGATATGAGGTTGTCGTTATTTACAAAGAAAGAAAATATTTACATCTAATAAATATAACATGCTCATTCATTTTTAACAAGTTATTTTACACGTTATGTCTCGTCTGATGAATTCGACCTCATCTGCTCGACCTAGACATTTGCCAAATAAAGTAAAAAAAAAAAATATATTTTACCTAAAAAGAAAAAAAAATTCCTAAAAAAATATTTTACTTCGAAACAAACACAACCTTAATGTAGATTTTCCATACTAGAACCAAACCAACTATATATGAACTTGTTTGGTTCAGTTATCTCAAATTAGACACTAGTTTAACTTAGTTTACAAACAATAGATTTTTCACAAATTGTTATCAAATGAATTTTGAAGCTACTTTCTATTTTTCAGTTTTGTGGGAATAGACAACTACTACTGTTGAAAATTTAAATCTAAGTAGGCGATCTATATTTGTGGGCTTTTCCATATATATATATATATATATATATATTTGACATCAATTATGTATGTTGGCAATCCTCAAGGAAAACTGGTAAAGAAGGTTGTTTCAAAGGTATGGAGAGAGCTGAAAAAGAATTACTCATTGGTTGTGAATGAATGCTTAGTTGGAATTGATGATCATGTAGAATAAATGATGAAATTGTTGGTGTTAATTCCGATGATGTAAGGATTGTGGGAATCCATGGCATGGGAGGAATCCGCAAGACCACTGTAGCCAAGGTCATCTACGACAAACTCTCCAGACAATTTCAAACCCGTTGCTTCCTTGAAGATGTTAGAAAAACAGCACAACAGCACAATGGTCTTGTTCATTTGCAAAGCCAACTTATATCTAGCATCTTAAAACAGGGACGCCCTGTCTTAATCGGGTCTATTGATGACGGAATTATTGCAATCAAACATAGATTTTCTGGGAAGAAAGTTCTTCTTGTCATTGATAATGTCGATCATATAGATCATCTTCGTGCATTTGCCCTTTTGGGAAAGCGTGATTGGTTTGGTTCAGGAAGTAGGATAATTATCACAACTAGAGACCTAGATATTCTAAAACAGGCTGTGGTCAATTCGACTTATGAACCAAAGGAATTGGATGATTATCAAGCTCTTCAACTTTTCAGCAAGTATGCTTTTAGAACGGACCATCCCCCACAAAGACTAACATACTTTATCTAGAGATTTTGTGCACGCAACTGGAAGGTTGCCTTTGGCTCTTGAGATTATTGGTTCTCGTTTGTTTAGCATTGAAAAAAAGGAATGGGAAGATAAATTAAAGGAGTTGAAAATAATACCAAACGAAGATGTGCAGAAGAAGCTGCAAACAAGTTACGACGCATTGAATGATATACAAAAACAGATATTTCTCGGTGTTGCCTGTCTTTTCATTGGAGTGGATACAAGAATTGCTTCCCGCATGTGGGAAAGTAATATTAATATTGGAGTTCTTTTGCGCCTGTTCGTTGGTAAAAATTGGAGATAACAATGAGCTAATGATGCATGAATAGCTTAGAGATCTTGGTAGGAATATTGTCCGTCGAGATAAAATCAACGATCCAGGAGAACATAGTAGGGTATGACTTCATGAGGAAGCCTTCCACATATTAGAGAGTAGTACGGGAAGATCCAACTCAATAGATGTTCTTTATTAAGAATTAATTTTTTCTGTCTTTTTTTATATTTTTAATGTAGGCCCCACCGTAGGTTTGCCAATTTTAGCATTTCTAATGTTAATAATCTCTAGCAATTTATCCTCCACTCACACGTTTTTTATATTTTCTTCATCTCTATCTATCAAACTCATGTCTTTCCACATTTTTCTAAACTTTTTCTCATGTGTTTCTTTGTGTGATTAAGCATATTAGATAATTATCTCTACTTTTCTAGGTGAGAATTTTACATTCTAATAAATGAGATATGGAATTTGTAAGAAATTCAAACACTTGAAATCAGGCAAGGCTTTTTACTAATTTGCATAAGGCCGGTTCTATTGTTCTTTAATTTACGTGTTTTTTTTTTTTTTTCTTACTATAGTTTATCGTTAAATATGTGTTCGGCTCGCGGAAAAGCGCTAGTTCCACTTTCTAGGTGAGTGGAAAGTAGGAGTGGATGTCGGGCGTGCCAGGAACTGCTGTCATTCCAAAGTGAGTATCCGAACAACTATCCAGTAGGACATTGCAGTGATCAGGTGATTGAATGAAGGACTGGAATTACCACCTTCAAGGGTTCTTTTTGCCTTGAAAAAGGACTTTCGGACTGAACTATGGCTAGTGGAAAGGAAAGCGGTATTAAAAGTGCAAGACTTTAAAGTAAAGTGCTGGAAAGTAGGAATAATAAGTGCATGACTTGAATTAAACATATTGAAGGTGCATTACATGAATGTAAAGATATTGAAGTGCTGTTTTGCCGTGTGATTTGAACAGGGTTTGCAAACTAGCTCTAAGTGTTCTATTTATAGAGCTTCATGCATGCATTAACTAGGTGTGGCAACTTCAGCAGCTTCCACGTGGAATGGTTCCGGACTGCCACATGTCCCGTGATTCCTCAACGGTTGTAACTTCTTTCATCTTATCCATCTTTTGTTGTAGACTTCAACCACGTCCTCTCTAGTCTTCAACGAATTTACGTCATGGGTAGTTTCAGAATGAATTCCCACGTGTTCTCTTTGTGACTTGGCAAGTGTCCCATGATTTTGTTCTTCTTCCTCATGCCGTTAATTCCTCTCCTTAACTTCAGACACAATTTCACCAATTGTTGCCTTATTGTCTATGATTCTTGATAACTTTCCTTGGTTAGTGGTAGTTCCCTTATAAAGTTCCACCACTTTCAACCGACGTGCTCTCATTTAGCTAGGTGTCCCACGATTTCTAGTAGTCTGTCCTTTCTATAGAACATTTCTTTTATGGCATCGTGATTTCTAACTTCTGATAAACTCCTCATTGTGAATAACTTCCATCTTGAGACTTTCCTTCTGAAGTTTGGAGTTCATGGTGCCATGACCTCCTTAATTTTAGTAACTCCTCCATCATGGGTAGTTTCCCAGAATATATTTGTACACATCTTTATTTCTCCAACCTACCTCCCTTTCTTCTGTAGACCACGGTTTCCTTTATTTTAGGCTGAACCTTCCATATTAATTTCATGGCGTCATAGTCACCGAGTTTACATCGTGGGTTATGGTTGTTGCTCACTTCCTTAATTTTAGCAACTTCTCTTCAACCTTACTTCCTCAGGATTTAGACCTCATGGCTTCATGGACTCCCTTTTCACGGTGATTCCTTCATCGTGGGTTAAGCCTAATATATATATATATATATATATATATATATATATATATATATATATATAAATTAAATCCCACGTCTTGCTAAATTTTAGCAACAGAAGTTGACTTGGCTGAACCATTGTTGAAGTTTCCTAAAAATAAGGAAAAAATTGCCTCCACGTCCCTATGACTTAGTCAACTTTTATTTAGATGGAAAATACCCATCTAATTGGTATCTTATATTAATAGGATCTTCCAAATAAATTCAAACAGAATTAATCTACCGTGGCAAGTCTAATAAAACTCGCCTTGTGTCAATAAACTATTGGTTGTTTGAATCTTTGACTTTAGCCTTCTCATGAAGTTACACTCATGGTAATATCTTCATGCAATCTTCTCGTTCTCTTAGGACTTTATATCCTAAGTTTGGTAAGTCCTAGTAGGACTCACCACTCCTTTTAATTTCCTGTAGAATTAATATTCCAAAGGAATATTTATTAATATCTTACTCTAACATGGCAAGTTCCATTAAAACTTGCCATGTTACTTCTTTCTATTAATAATCCACCTTAACAATTCCACGTCACATCCTCATATTCTTGGATTATTAGAACACTAAATCAATATGGCAAGGTTTGTAAAAAACTGGCCACTTGTCTTCTTTCCATTGAGCAAAATAGTGGAATAAACATATGCCCTCCAAATTCCATACCTTGTGGATCTTTCTGAAAGTAAGGCGTGGGATTTGAATTCCGCCATTAACATACCACCATCATGCTCGCTTGATTTTCCAACCCTAACCACAACTAACTTCTCGGCTTCCATCACATTAATTTCCTTTAATCACCAATCTCCTAGATGCCATGTGCCCCTAAAAGACCTATTCGCTGCTTCCTATAAAAATCTCTTTACTTTCCTTTTTTGAATTTCAAAATTCCAACTAAAACCCTTCTAATAGTACCCTTAGGTTTTTGGACACTCAAGATAACCATTAAAAGGAAACACGTGGCTGCTCCCCCTGCATATTCTGAGAACATCTTCTCCAACCACTGATTTTCGTTTCTTCAAGGAGATTCAAACCATTTATGGCATAGAGTTGTTAGCCTTCTCAATCCTCATTATTTCCTTTTCCTTTTAAAAGTCCTCCTTTAACTTCCCCTCCTCAAAAGGCATCCTTGGACTTTGAAAGATTTCACTATAAACGATAAAATCTTCTACGTGTTATTCTGTTGGTCTCTTGATTCTACCCATGTTAATCTTTCTAGCCGCCAAACACATTTCGTCTCCCAATAAACCTCTCATCCATTTATGGTATTACACTATCCAGCTTCCAAAACCTTTTAAAACTTCCTTTTGAATTTTGAAAACCCAACCACCCATCCTAGGAAAACGCCCTCAGCCTTTACTTCCTTCCTTATCGTTTCTATATATATATTACCTCCATACTTATCGTTTGCCACCAACTCTCCTTCTATTATCTTTCCTCCTTCTGAAACCCTAAAGGACATCTCCACCCATGGAAAAATTACAAACCATGGCTCCCAAGAAGCCTTCCAAGCCAACTATTAGCTCATCCCTGCCAGCTCCCTCTATTCAAACCAAAACCAAAATTCGATACTCTTGAAGTCTCTAAACCCTGCTGGACTTCATCTTGAACCTCTGATTCACTTCAAAGGCTCCTTAGTTGGATTGGGTTCAGCCTTTGCCAACGTTGCCCCCTCTGAATTAGCCAAATTCTACCCTTCCAGTAAGTCTTCACTCCCTTTCGATTCAGAGTTCCCTCCTATTTCAAAGAAAGGGAAGAAAGTAAAATCCTCATTCAGCATAAGAAACTGGCCAATATATCGTTCATCCTGGTCTTCATGGGTGAGTTGTCTTTCCAAGGACGAGAAAATTTCTTCACAGTGGAAGAAACAGGGCATCTATGACATTATCTAAATCAGTAAGTCCTCTACAACACTTGATCCGACCCTCCTTTTTCCAGCCCTTTTCTTTTGGTCTTCAACCACCAATTCTCTGCATCTTAAATGTGGAATGATGTCCCCCACTTTGAGAGATATTTGTTGCATCACAGGTCTTAAGCCTTATGGAGATGATGTAAGTGCCACCCTCTTTGTTGAACAATTCTTCTTTCCAACCAAGACCACTGGAAGTAAGAAGTTTATCTCCTCCCATCTCCCTTTTATTAAACACTATAAGCAAACCGGCCCAGTTCAAGAAGATGACCACATTGCTTTCCTGATTTGTTGGCTTTCTGGCCACTTGCTATGCGTTCCATTTGGCCAAGTCACAAAAAACTATGTTCAAGTGGCGGTTTCCCTAGCCAGAAATGGAGACTTAGTATTAGCTCCCCTTGTACTTTCTCATTTATACAGAGGTCTTCACGATCTCCTTACTTCCAAGTTTTCAAGGTTCTAAGTTCCCTTCTGGTTGTTCCAAAAGTGGCTTAAAGTGTACTTCCAAAATAGAACTTCACCCCTAATCACTCCAACTGGAAAATCCCTTCTGTGTCATTCTTTGGCAACCGCTGATCCTTCTCTTTTCAGCTTTGCTGAAAACTTTGAATATTTCTACAATCAATGTGAGACTGGAAACGATGAGTTCTTTGATCCATTCACTGCCATTGGTCGCATGCCATCATGGTTGGTTCCATCTCCCAGAGTGTCTACCAAGAAACATTCTGAAGATTGGAAAAATATTTGGGTCAGCTTCCTTATTGCTCGTGACCTCCATTACAACACTGCTCAACCTACTTTGAAGAACAGTTTTCGTGGCATTGAGTTCTACAACCCAGCCCAACTAGCAAGGCAAATGGGCTTTACCCAAATTATTCCTTTGCCACCCTGCAAATCTTACAACAGATTCTTTGACCAACGTGTTCATCTTACAGATACTGAACAATTTACAGCGATTGACCAAGCCTACGCAGCAGAAAGAGCAGCTTTTAATTTCAAAGGCCATACTAGCAAGCCTCAATCAACCAATGAATTCGATGTATTGTGGTTAGCTTATATCTCCTCCACCCGAACCAAGAATCAGAAGGCTATTTGTGATTCCATACTGGTATCTTTCAAGCCTCTGTCTCCAGGTATTAATGTATTTACTGTAAATTCCATTCCCTTTTGAAATCCATCAACCCTCCATATACCGAGACTTGGTTAATTTCAGATGAAGAAGAGGAAATACTTGAAGAAAGTGAAGAGGAAGAAGGTGGAGAGAAAACCACCACAATGGCTAGTAAAATTGAGGGTGTAGCCGAAAGTGGTGATGTAAGTATTGAAAGTCTTTACTCAAGTGATGATGAAGAGGAGGAAGAAGAAGTGAAAGAGGAAGAGGAGGATGCTTTATACAAGGCAAAGGGAAAGGGAAAAACCTCTCAGGTATTTCAATGTGGCCGAACTTAATTGTTCCATATTCTGAACTTTACTTATACTTCCTCTTGCAGGGACTGGCAATTGTCAAAAAGGAATTTCAGCCCCAATTATCCTCTTCTGATGAAGATTCTTCTGATGGTGAAGTCGGCATTTCCAAAGGGCGAACCACTACTCAGCATTCCAGCAAAGCCTAAAAATGCGTAGCCCTTCCGGAAAAGTTATAGGAAAGGCTAAAAGGAAAATCATGCCTGAACTGGAAAAAACAGAAGAGTTCAAACAAACCGGAGACTTCCCATAACACAAGAAACCAAAGTCATCTAAAGAGCTTGTTTTGGTAAGTCTCAATCCTTATCATTCTCCATCTCATTACTTTATACTTTAAAATGTTTGTAACTTTAACTTGACCAATAGGGCTCTACTATGGGACACAATTTCATGAATATCCACCTGGATTGACAAGTTGCACAATGAGAGGATTTGGCCCTTCAAGCTTCAATTATGGAGAGTTTGACCATCAAGAATAAGAAAAGTCTGCCCATTCCAACTTTCATTATTGGAATATCCATTCCTTCCGGAACTGGTGGAACTTCTACTGGTCATACTCCTTTCATCCCAAAGGCAAGCCTTCATTCCTTTACAGTTCGCCTCATTTCTTTCTTTATATCTAATAGAAACTTGTTTCCATTTCAGGCAACTACTTCCTTATCTACCTCAACCTCCTTTATGATGCAGAGGAGAGCCCTTCCAGCATTAGCTGATCTTTATAAAGTGATCAAGGCCACCAAATCTTCCAGTACTTCTACTTCAAGTGCAAGTGTCCTCACACTTCCAGGACCTTCAGATGATGCTATCATGGTGGCTAAAGAAAAGTTGTTGTCTTATCTTGCCCACGATGTGGAGGATGTAGTCTCTTTCCACTTAAGTCTAGCCAGTACTATTGTGACCCTTAAAAAACATTTTGGATTTCTTGAGCCTATCCAGGCTTCTTTGACCAAGCTGCAACACCAACTCGAATTCATTGTTGCCCATGTGAGCTCCAGTACTTCTATAGTTTCCAAGTATGAAAAGGAAGCCAAGCTCAGAGATAAAGCTCTTGAGGATTTTCAACTCTCCTTAGAATCCTACCCAGAAATCAAGGATCGGGCTGAAAAGAATGAAGAACTGGCCAAAGTTCAAAGGGAATTAGAACAAGTGCAACGTGAAGAACTTGAATTGGACCAAACAGCTAATGCCCTTGTCAATGCGTTCGAACCTTTAAGGAAAGAATGGGAAAAATGAGTTGAAGCCTTTCCTAAATTTAAGGATGCAAAGTTTAAAGCAGTGGTTGTTCTTGGAGAAGCAAGGAAAATTTGGAATGAACTTGGAGGTGTTCTTGCCTCTATCTGATCTCATGTGTTTCTCTTTAAGGTTCTATCATGTGGTTGTTTTTGGAAAACTTGTGGATAGGAAATAACTAATGGGTACTTTTGCATGGCCAATCCTAGGTTTAGGAGGCCATTTTTGAGTTTTGTAATGAAATCCAGTATCTAATGAGATAACGCTCTATTTCCCAACCCTTTGCATGTGCCTCTTTCACACTTTATATGGAAAAGAAATTTCTAAGTCACTGAAACTGGAAAATATCTTCACATATATTTATAATAAGGCATAGCCATATAATTGGCTTTCCATAACAAGGGAAATTCAAAGAAATAAAAGAAATTGCCACAATGGAAATGCATGTATATACAAGCAAGATAAACAATTTCCAGTATGATCAAAACCTGGAACATATAGCGTAGCCAATTCCTTAATGAAGTCTTCCATACTTAGGAAATCAGCTGATCTTGGAAATTCAACTAAGTCTGCTTCCTAACTTTAGCCAATGTACGTTTCCAAGAACTTAGCCACTTACTGGAATGAATCATTCCTCTATTTTGACTTAGCTACTAAAATGACCAAAGTATGGTCAACATTCATCCTTTCCAACTTTCTGGTAACTTGGAAAGGAGTGGTACCAGCCACATTATGTGGCCGGTTGAATGAGTGTTACTTTCTAATCTTCATAGATGGAAGGGTGGTACTCTTTCAAGTACATACCATTCACAGGATGCCTATGAGACCCTCTATCTATATCCATCAATCTATAAGCCCCTTTTCCAAGGACTCGTTCTACCAAGTAAGGACTTTCCCAATTAGGAGTCTATTTTCTATACTCCAAACTTTTAACTCCAGGTGGAAATTTGACCTGCCATACTAAGTCTCCTTCTACAAATGTCTTTGTCTTGACCTTCTTGTTGTATGCCCGCATGACTTTTTTCTTTTGAGCAATAATATGATCCAAAGCAGTAAGACGAACTTTATCAAGGTCTTCTAATTCTGCAAACATGGCATGGTTGTAATCTGCTGGAGTTAGCCTATTTTGGAAAGCCACCCTTGCAGACCTGATAGTCATCTCCACTGGAAGGACAACATCATGTCCAGATGTAAGCACATATGATGTGACGCCTGTACTTGACCTTTTTGAATTTTTGTAGGCCCAAAGAGCTTCAGAAAGCAAGTGATGCCACTCCCTTGGATGATCCTCAATCATCTTTTCAAGGATGTTGAGAATTACTTTGTTGGAAGTTTTTGTCTATCCATTTGCCTGGGCAAAATATGGAGTGGAACTGATCACTTGTACACCACACTCAGCACAATAATCCAAGACCTTGCTTCTAACAAAGGATAGATCCCTATCAGTGGTGATAGTCTCTGGAATTCCAAACCTCTGTGTAATGTGCTTCTTGATAAAATCAATCGTCATTGACTGCTCACAAGTCTTTAGTGGAATGGCTTCCACCCACTTTATGAAATAATCTATTGCCACCACTATATGAGTATGATCATCTGAAGATGGAGGCCTTATCTTTTTAATAAAGTCCAAAGCCCACCCTCTAAATGGCCATAGTTTTACTATCGGCTGTATATTAATAGCTGGAACTCTTTAGACCGGGCCATGTTCTTGACATGCAATACAAGTCTTGGCAAACTCTATGCAATCTTTCAATATGCCTTTCCAATAATAACCATACCTTCTAAGGAGCCACCTCATCTTGATTCCAGCTTGATGTGCTCTGCATATTCCAAGGTGTGATTCTGCCATTACCCTCATGGACTCATCCTTTCAGAGGCATCTTAACAGAAGTCCATCTTCTTTACTCTTCTTGTAGAGGTCCCCATCAATCAGAATGTAATGTAGTGCCAAAAGCTGAATTCTCTTGTCCACTTTGGAGCTAGGCTCCTGTAAGAATTGGATAATTGGTGTTCTCCAATCATCCAAATCTAATCCATTTATATCAATATTGAAAACCTCCCATGGTTTATTGGCAAGTTTGATTCTTTCTGGCTTTTCAGATTGGAAATGACTTGCCATCTCATACCGTAACTCTACCGAAGGAAAAATCCTTCTTTTAACTGTGATCAAAGCTTCTTCCACACTTGGTGAGACTTTCACTCGAGAGGCTAATTGTGCTAGATCATCAGCCTCCGTATTTAAATGTCTAGGCCAATATTTGAGTTGAAAATCATTAAATTGGCAAAGTAACTCTAAGGCCAAAGAGTGGAAAGGCCTCAGACGCTAGTTAAGACATCTATATTCTTCAGATAGTAGGCTAAGTGTCAAGTTGGAATCTCCAATAATCTGGACCTTTTCCACCTTTAGCTCTAGCAGAATCTCCAGCCCAATAATTAGTGCCTCGTACTCAGCTTGGTTGTTTGTACACTTGAAATCCAAGAAGAAAGAAAATTTGGTTTTCCTTCCTTTCGGAGAAATGATGACTATTCCATCTCCACCTCCATCATGAGTGCTTGATCCATCAAATATGAAAGTCCAAGGTGTGTAGTCAAGGTAGAGATTATCCACCTCATCACATATTTCTGAATCTATCTTAGTGGATGGATGATCTGCTAGAAATTCTGCTACCGCCATTCCTTTGACTGCCTTTTGTCGAATATACTTGAAGGAAAACTCCATTAAGGCCAATGACCACTTTCCAATACGTCTAGTGATCAAAGGCCTTGGAAGCATATACTTAATCAAATCTGTTTGAGAAATGATATATACGGCCATTGGCAACATATAAGTTCTTAACTTCATAGCCGCATAGTATAAAGAAAGGCACAACTTTTCAATGGAAGTGTACTTACATTCCACTGGAGTGAGCACCCTACTTAGATAATAGATGGCTTGCTCTTTCCCCCATTCATTGTTCTGAGCTAATAGAGTTCCAATGAACTCATTGGCAGCCGATAAGTATAATCTTAAAGGCCACTTCTTGATTGGAGGCATTAGCACTGGAGGGTTGGCCAGGTAGCTTTTCAAACCTTCAAAGGCTTGCTGGTGCTGTTCTATCCACTTGAATTCCTCAGCACCCTTCAATTTCAGCAAAGGGGAGAAAACATGAGTCTTTTCAGCATGGTTGGCAATAAACCTCCTTAAATATCCAACCTGGCCGAGGAATCACTGCAACTCTTTCTTAGTGGACGGTGGCTTTGCTTCAATAATTGCCTTTACTTTATTTTGATCTATCTCAATACCCCTTTGGTGGACCAAGAAGCCTAGGAAATTTCCAGCTGAAACCCCAAAAGCACACTTCAAAGGATTCATCTTCAACTTGTGCTGCCTCATCCTTTCAAAAGCCATCTTCAAATTGTGAAGATGTTGATCTTTTACCGAGGACTTGATGACCACATCATCAATGTAGACTTCCAAGAAATGGCCAATCATGTCATGGAATATGGCATTCATGGCTCTTTGATATGTTACTCCGGCATTCTTTAACCCAAATGGTATGACAACCCATTCAAAGGTTCCAATGGAACCTGGACATCTGAAGGCTGTCTTGGTAATATCTTCCTCTGCAATGTAAATCTAGTTGTACCCAGAATGTCCATCCATGAATGAAAGAATTTTATTCTTGGCAGCAGAATCTACTAACTGGTCAGCAACAGGCATGGGATACTCATCTTTTGGAGTTGTAAGATTGATATTCCGAAAATCCACACATACCCTTAGTTTGCCATTTGTCTGAACAACTAGAACTATATTGGAAATCCAGTCAGCATACCTGGCGGTTCTTATAAAACCAGCCTTGTGTAGCCTTTCTATCTCTTCTTCGACTTTTAGAACAACTTCTTGGGACATCCTTCTTAGAGGCTGCTTGAAAGGCTTGAAACCTTCCTTAATTGGCAAATTATGCTCTACCAGCTCTCTGGAAAGACCTGGCATTTCCTCATAGGTCCATGCAAAGCAATCTTTGTATTCTTCAAGTAAGGAAATCAATTCTTTTCTAAAGATTGGTTTCAAAAGCTTACTGATGTAGGTAGGCCGAGGGTCCTGTTCTGTTCCAAGATTAACTTCCAAAAGTGGATCTTGTACTTAAGCCTTGAGATATTCTAACTTCGTTGGCGCCACCTTCAAGTCTGTTAGCTGGATAGTATCCAACTTGTCTTCAGTATCTTCCATAATCTCCAAAACATTGGTTGAAAATGAAGCACCGGCAATAGCAGCCCTTTCCAACCGTAGTTCGGCTAGATATACTTTTAACTTGGCAAGGCAGCAGTTAATCACCTGGCCAAGTATTCTATTTTCTTTACGTTTCTCTTCCATAAAAACTTTTGTTTGAAATGTATTGCTGAACACCGGCCTTGGGTAAAATTGTTGGCCTTAGTGTTTCTTAGAAAAGTTCCCTTACATCTTCTTCCGTAAGAGTCCTTCTCATGGTGGCCTTCCTTGGACGACCCTTGCTATCCTTTCCAATAAATCTGATTGGAACGAATTCTTCACTATATAACTCAGCATCTGCATAAAAAACCCTTGCCACAAATGGCCGGCTATCATCTTCCACAACTTTTACCTCATCTCCATCCCAAAATATTAGCATTTGATGGAGCGAAGATGGAATGCAAATATTTGGGTGAATCCATTCACGGCCTAAGAGCAAATTATAAGTCGCTGTGGACTCAATAACAAAGAAGGCTGTGATGGAGTTCTATCTCCCATCGTTAACTCCAACGGTAGAATGCCTTGTGTCTTCACTACTCCTTCCGTGAAACCGCTAATGGATACATCTGTTAGAATGATGTCTTCAGGAGACTTTCCGAGCATGTGCAAACATTGACTGGAACAACATTCAACACCGAACCATTGTCCACCAGAACTCTTGCCAAGGGCCTTCCTTCCACTAGCACCTTGATGTACAAAGGTTTGAGCTGCTGAGTTATGCCATATGGTGGCTTTTCCAACACAATTTTCTTTGGCCTTGTAGGGCTGTTCTCTTTAATCACAACCCCCTTTAATTTTTGGAGATGCTCAGTTTTATCTTCAAAAACCTCCTCTATATGAATACCATTATTTAGTTCTATAATAGTTGGCCCAGAACTAGACTGTCCAAGACTTTCCATGGGTGGACTTGTATCTACTACATCTCATTCCATTGAATTGGGCTGATTTGGCTGAGGCTCAAAAAGCAAAGGAAGAACCACTACCATATTGCAAGTAAATTCACTTGGAAGGCTCCCAAAATAGATTTTCTTGCTGCTACTGGAACTGCTGGGAATTTCTAAATCTATTTTATCTTTCGTTGGAGGATTGTCTGTAGTTATGGAATTTCCAACCTCTGAATCAAGATCTAGCAAATCATCAGGATCTCTCTCTTTTCCTCTAGCTGGAAGCTCTGATAAGTCTGACGGCTTAGTAGTCTTCTTTGGCCAACTGGACCAGCCATGGTCTTTCTCCCATAACCTTCTTTTATCAGCCCTCTTCCTTTGCTGCCTTCGCTTTTATGTACGGGTCATATAGGAATCATCATGGATAGGGAACTTGGGATGATCAAGCCTCTCCCACCTGTTACTTTGTAAGATGGGAGGCTTAACCATTCTTGGTCAGAGACGCTCATTCTCCCTTCTAACCTATACTTTCAAGGCCATTTTTGGCCTGGAAGGCCTGTCACCTTCAGAACCTTTGTCTTGCCATTTACTCCTTTCAAACTTTCTGCTAGGAGGACGAGAACCTGGCTGATAGGAAATTCTATTCCTTTCCAAATTCTTTGGAAGGATTTTAGATTTCCTTTCTGCTGCCTTTCTTTCTGGATGAACCTGGCTTTCCTTCTCTGGAATGGTTACAGTAACTGTGTTTTCCACCTTTTGGAAAGTTAGCCGATCATGGACCTTCCTTTTCTGACCCCGGTCACTATTGGAGGGCTTTTCATTCTGCTTCTCTTTTGGAAAGTCTTTACGGCAACCTTTATTCTGAACTTTACACTTGGGGCAACAACCTTTATCCATGATGTAGCCCAAAATTAAGCTAAGCAATTTCAACCTTTACAACAGTTAACAATATGCACAGTTTTGTACTTTCATTCTGTTCTATCCTTTAACATAGCAACATAAAACCATCCAAACAGAAACTTAATTAACACTTAACATGTGAATTAAGAAATCCAGTATACTCTTAACTCAGTTCAGAAAAAAAGTAAAACACCTATAGTCCAAACAGTATTCCAAAAACAACCCTGTACGCATCAAAATGGAAGAGCCTGCTCTAAAACTTTGGAGCAGGCTTTTTTTAGAGCATGGAGCCGGCTCTAGATATCCTAGAGCCGGCTCTTTTGATAGTAAAGCCTGCTCTTTCCTCTATAGAGCCGGCTCTCCTTTTCTCTAAGAGCCTTCAGTCCCCTGTGTTGCGTTCCAACTTCTCTGCTCCTTCTCCGGCTGATTCCTATCACTCTGTGGTATTTAAAACTGACCTTAGGAGTTTTGTTTGAGTCTAGAAGCATCCCCAAGATTGGTTTACAATAATTTGAAAACAATTACAGAGTTTAAACTAAACCAATAAACTAGCACGCTTGAAGAGCAACACTGAAACCAATTTGCAATATCAGTTATGATCCAACCTCTCTGTTCCTCTTCACCCCTTCACTTAGGAGTCTTATATCATCCCAATAACATCCCCATGATCCATTTACAGAAGATAAAAGCAGGTACGGTAACTAAAACTACAACAGATTTTAACATGCTTTAATGAATAGAACTGGAAACAAACATACACAAACTGTAAACATATTTGATTTTAAAGCAAACAGATCATCAACAAAGCATATAATAAACACGTAAGTTTCAATTACTAGTTAGTTCAACCCTAGAGATTATCTAGGTGCACAGAACACGAGCCAAGGGAAAGAGGAAGATAAGAACTTGCCTGTGATTTCAGTTATAAAATATCGGCGTCGTCTCTAAGTTTTCCGGCAAATACTGAACACCGGTAAACCTTCTATTGCTCTGAATCTAATCCTCAATCAACCTCCTTGGTCCTCTCTGTAAAATTCCCCCTCAAGCCTTGCTCTGTTTTCTCTCACGTCTTTGTTTTCTCTTTGTGTTTCTTTTTGTGTCTTTGATACGTGAATAGGAGTGGTATAAAGTCTTTTTAAAACCCTAAGTCGTCTTAATGATATATTTATAGGTTTTAAACTAAAACCCTAATCCAAAATTTCTATCCGAGAAGGAAACACAACTAATGTTATTCTCTACCTTGGCTAAATACGTGAAACCCTAAAAGAAATAAAACCCTACGATAAACATTAATTTAATTAAATTCAATAAAACAAATAATTAACAATACAATTAATTAACAAACAAATATAATCAAAATGCAATTCATTCAAACAACAAGCAAATAAATTTCAAATAAATCAACTAATGAAAATAAAACAAATAATACACACAATTAAATCAATTAAACAAATAATATGCAATTTAAACAATAAATTAAATACCAGGCCTATCCTTTTGATATTAGGGGTATTACACTTTCCAATCTTTTTAGCACTTACTCACCATGTTTTGGCCTTGAAAAAATTAGAATTGTAGATGGTAGTTTCTCACCTATTGCAGGAAAAGGTTTGATAAAATTATCCGAGAATATAAATCTTAAAAATGTTCTCCATGTCCCTAAACTAGCTTGTAACCTTTTGTCTGTGAGTAAACTAACCAAAGAATCTAAATGTCGTGTAATTTTCTATGATTCTTACTGTGAATTTCAGGACCGGAGCTCGGGGAAGAAGATTGGCAGTGCTAAGATAATAGATGGACTTTACTACTTTGATGGGGACTTCTCCAGTAATAAAAAGGCTCGAGGCCTTAGTAGTGTTAGTTCTAACTCTGTTTATGAACAAATAATGTTTTGGCATTTAAGACTAGGACATCCTAACTTTCTATATCTTAAACATTTGTTTCCTACTTTATTTAAAGGTTTAGATTGTTCATCATTCTATTGTAAAAGTTGTTGCTTATCTAAGAGTCATCGTACTACTTATTTGCCAAACCTTATACTTCTTCAAAACCATTTTATTTAATACATAGTGATGTTTAGGGACCTTCAAGAGTTACTATTATCTCTAGGAAAAAATGGTTTGTTACTTTTATAGATAATCATACCCGTTTATGTTAGGTTTATTTGATGAATGAAAAGTCTGAGGTTGGAAATTTTTTTAAGGATTTTTACACAATGGTTGAAACTCAGTTTCAAGCAAAAATTAGCATTTTTCACACCGATAATGGAACCGAGTAATTTAATGAAATTTTGAGGAGTTTTTTTGAAAGAAAATGGTATTCATCATCGGTCTACGTGTGTGGATACCCCTCAACAAAATGGAATTGCTGAAAGAAAAAATAAACATTTACTTGAAGTGGCTCGTGCTATAATGTTTTCAATGAATATTCCAAAATATCTTTGGGGGGAAGCTGTTTTAACAGCTTCGTATTTGATTAATATAATGCATTCACGTGTTTTAAAATATAGCACGCCATTAGAATGTTTCAAAAGAACTTTTCCATTATCAAGGATATACTCGGATTTACCTCTAAAGGTTTTTGGGTACATAGTTTTTGTTCATATACCCAATAATACTCAGTCCAAACTTAATCCTCGAGCTGAAAAATGTGTTTTCATAGGGTATGCTTCTAATCAAAAGGGATATAAGTGCTATAATCCCCAAACAAAAAAATTTTATGTAAGTATGGATGTCTCTTTCTTTGAAAATAAATCCTACTTTCCAAAAAATTCTCTTCAGGGGAAGAATGAGGTGATGGAAGAAATTTTTTGGGATTTATCTCCTACTCCTTTACCAAATATGATTTTGACTCCTTCATCTCATCCTATTGTTATTCCCGAAATTCAAAGTCAAGAACAATATGATAAAACAAATGAAAACAATGAAGAGAATCATAGTCATATAGTGCCAAACATTATTGTATCTGAAACAGAGGAAGAATCACTACAACTGGGCACAAAAGTTCCCAATACTGAGCCTCTGGTTTATACTCGGAGAATACTTCATTAAAAGAGTCAAACTCAGCCTATTCCTCTTGGAATTGATCAATCTCAATCTCCGGGAACTGGACTTCCAGATATCATAGGTAATTTTGATCCTAACTTATCTTCAGTTCCTATTACTTCTCCTACTCAAGAACCATCAGACCTTGATATTCCTATAGCTGTTAGGAAAGGTATTCGAATCAAATATCCAAATCCAAAATATCCCATTGCCAAATACCTTTCTTATGAAAAACTCTCTCACACTTAGAGGGCTTTTGCCTCAAAAATCTCACACTTATTTGTCCCGAGAAACATTCAGGAAGCTCTTGATGATCCGAATTGGAAGTTAGCAGTGATGGAATAGATGAATGCTCTTAGAAGAGTGGTACTTGGGAGATAGTTGATTTACCTAAGGAGAAAAGAACAGTAGGCTGCAAGTGGGTCTTTATGGTGAAATGTAAAGCTGATGGTAGCATAGAGAGGTACAAGGCAAGATTAGTAGCAAAAGGGTTCACCCAGACCTATGGAATTGATTATCAAGAAACTTTTGCTCCTGTAGCCAAGATAAACTCAATCAGAATTTTGTTATCTTTGGCAGTGAATTTTAGCTGGTCATTACACCAGTTAGATGTAAAAAATGCCTTTTTAAATGGAGATCTTGAGGAGGAGGTCTTTATGAATCTACCACTTGGGTTTGAGGGAAAATTGGGACCTAATAAAGTCTATAGACTGAAGAAATCTTTATATGGTCTCAAGCAGTCCCCTAGAGCTTGGTTTGAGAGATTTGGGAGAGTTGTGAAGAATTGTGGCTACTGTCAGAGCCAAGCTGACCATACCATGTTCTATAAACACAGTAGAGAAGGTAAGGTTGCAGTGTTAATTGTCTATATGGATGATGTAATTTTGACAGGTAATGACAATGAAGAATTGGAGAGACTGAAAAAGAGACTTGCAGCTGACTTTGAGATCAAGGATTTGGGTGCATTAAAATACTTTCTTAAAATGGAGTTTGCTAGATCCAAAGAAGGTATATTTGTGAATCAACGTAAATATGTTCTTGATTTACTTAGTGAGACAGGTCTGCTAGGATGTAAACCAGCCGAGACACCCATTGAGCCCAACCTTAAGCTGCATCATTCTAAAGATGAAGAAGTTCTGAATAGAGTGCAGTATCAAAGATTTGTTGGAAAACTGATCTACTTGTCACATACACGTCCAAATATAGCTTTTGCAGTCAACATGGTTAGCCAGTTCATGCATTCACTTGGATGAGAACACTTTGATACAGTCTACAGAATTCTTAGATACCTAAAGGGGACCCCTGGAAGAGGTCTATTGTTAAAAAACCGTGGGCATTTGCAAGTTGAAGCCTATACTGATGCAGATTGGGCTGGGTGTGCTATTGATAGACGGTCAACTTCTAGCTACTGCACCTTTGTTGGACGTAACCTTGTCACCTGGCGGAGTAAAAAACAGAATGTAGTAGCAAGAAGCATTGCAGAGGCCGAGTTTAGATCAGTTGCTCATGGAATTTGTGAAATGTTATGGATTAAGAGACTATTGGATGAATTAAAGGTCTCTAATCCATTGCCTATGAAATTGTACTGTGACAATAAAGCTGCTATTTCTATCACTCATAATCTAGTACTTCATGACAGAACAAAGCACGTGGAGGTAGACAAACACTTCATCAAGGAAAAACTCGAAAATGGTTTAATCTGTATGCCATACATTCCTACTACCGAGCAAGTTGCAGATATGCTTACAAAGGGACTTCCTACAAGACAGTTCGACCGACTAATTGGCAAGCTGGCTATGGAGGATATCTTCAAACCAGCTTGAGGGGGAGTGTTGAAAAGGAAAGATTTGGTAGTAATACTACCAAATATTATTACCTGTAAATATAATATTTGGAGAATATTTTCTGTAAATAGAATATTAGTCAAATACTATAAAATAAGAAATTATTAATTAGGCCAGCTAGGTATGTACGTGTATTCTCTCCTATAAAGAGAACTTGTGTATACTCGTGATAGTGTGTTAATACAGATAAAGAGGTTTTTCTATTTTTCTTTCCTTTATAGTTTATAATGTGAAATTTATCCACGAGCTGTTTAATACACCGTAAGTTCATCTTATTTACGGGGCAAAAAAGGCGCCTTAGATGTGAAAATTTTTATTGCTTATTTACGGAGCAAAAAAGGCACCGTAGATGTGTGCTTTATCAATGAGGAACATTTATCCCGTTAAAGGTGTACAAATATGCCGTAAATGTATCTAAATATTCACGGGCTCTTTAATATGCCGTAAAAATATTTTTCTATGACGATTCTATAAAATCCTCGTGAAAACATGTCCTATTACGAGGATTTTTTTAAAAACTCCGTAAATGGTGGTAATCACGACGCAAAATAAAGAAGCCCCGTAAACACTATGTCGTAAAAGCCCACTTTTCTTGTACTGCTATAAGTAGTGTACCTATATATCATTCTCAGTTTCAATGTAATACCATTTCACTAAAACAATTCTCTCCTAATTCCTTGTTGTTTAGAAGTTTGTTTATTAATCGAGCTTGAAAAATCTATTTGAGATTGGTTCGTTTATTAAACAAAACACGAACCGAGCTCTTAGTGAGCTAAGCCCAAACTGTTCGTCAAACGTTTGATTCATTTAAAGCCCTATTTGTACATGCGCGTTTGTTGAAAAATCATATTATTTTTGTTATAAGGTTCCATGCTATTAAATGCCTGCTACTAAATATAGTTACCTCATATTATTAAAATCTTGCTCCAGAATTTAATTACATCATAATTTGATCAAACACAAGATGATACAATCATACATATTGAATAAAAAATACCCTAAATTAGAGCACAAAAAGTAGTTTTGTTAAATTGCCACAAAAAGCTGCTAAATACAAACAAGGTATCAAATAAAAGAGTCCTAGAGTAGCTTTTGACCAGTCAAAGAGGATTAAGCAACCCAATAAATTAGCTCCAGAAATTGATACTCTTAAAGCCCAACTGACGGTTAGCAAAGTGTAATTCAATGCACTAAAGCCACAAATCGGAAAAAAAAAAATAAAAAAAAATAAATAAATTTGTGATCGATTAAAAATAATAGAAGTTGCCGAATCAGTATTCCTTAAGGAACTCTGCCATTGAGAAAACTTCTAACGCATAAGCAAACACACCCGCAACACTGAATGGTTTACATTTTCAAACTCATCTATAGATTAGACAAAAGGAACATATTGAAACAATCTGGGAATCCATATATGAGCTTGCATTCTTTCTTCGAGTATTTTTCTCACTCATTAACTAATAATCATAGAGTTTTGCATTCGTTTGCTCTTCCTTGGCTGAATTTGTGGAATAAGGAGT